ACGTACGTACACACACACACACACACACACACACACACACACACACACACACACACACACACACACACACACACACACACACACACACACACACACACACACACACACACACACACACACACGACAAGTTTCACTTCAGCCGCTGGGACACCCGATCTCCCACATGTGCCAGACCTCTCAGACCGGTTCCCCTACAAACCCCGCGCACTAACCAGGCCAGCCGGCTGGTCTTAGCTTCCGGCCGGGCCCCCGCCATGGCCCTGTCGGTGAAACGGGGAGAAGCTGGTTGGATACAGGGGTAATACACCTGCCATGTGGGCATGTCTGCGCTGCAGCCCGTTCAGGCAAAGAGCTCCAAACAAGAACCGGCCCTGCAGTGACACAGCTCTTGGCCTGCGGGCTGGGTCAAGCAGGCCCCTCTCCCCGGGGGTTAGTAATGCCCAGTCGGCCCCTGCTCCGCGTGCACATGGGCTACTGAAACAGCCAGCATGGGGCAGTGTCAGAGGCGGGAGGCTACACTGGCTGGGCCATTTCCCCGTCTTGGCGCTGGTCCCTGGGATCGGCTGGTCCCGCGAGGATTGGGGCTGGTGGGGGCGAGGGGCCTGTCCGGCTCACATCTCACTCGAGGCTGGTTTGCTTTGTGTTCCCCAGAGTAATGGGGCCTTTCAGAACGGCCAGGAAGCCAGTACCACGTCACCCCCAAAGAGCAACAGCGCGGACCCCGTGAATAAACTGATGAGCTCCTCTGTCTCCAGCCTCAGCTCGTCCACGGTATGGGCCGGGGGTGGGGACGAGGGCCGGGGGGTAGGCTGGGGTGGAAAGCTGTTGGCAATTGGGGAAGAGGGTTGGATGGAGAGCTGTTGTGGCCCAGTCATTGGTTGGCAGTTGGAGCAGGACGGATGAGTACTGGACCGCTGTGTACTCTGAAACCTACTGAGGTGTATGCCAGGGCCTTTGCTGGGCCATTTGATAGTCCCTTGGCCATGCAAGGGTCACGGCAGCTGGTAGGTCAGGAGTGAGCTCAGCTCTTGGCCCCCTCGGGCTCTGTGGTGGGGGGGATTTTAAGGCAGCTCCCCCATCAGGGGATGCAGGATTTTGCCCTGTGTTTCAAGGGGCCGTTAACGTGGTCCCAGCTTGGGCGCCCCGCTGCGTCTCTCTCCTCCTGTCTCCACTCGCATTCCTCCTTCTCTGCCTGTGGGGGGGCCCTCCCTGCCCCCCTGCTCTGACCGCCCCCCCATCCCTGCCTGCAGCTGAGCGGCAGTATGATGAGCCTGTACAGTGACAGTGACGTGGGGAACGTGGAGGTGCGCGGCTGCGTCCAGTTCGCCCTGCAGTACGAGGCCAAGAAGAAGGAGCTGCAGATCCGGGTCATCCAGTGCCGGGACCTGGCCGAGGCCAAGAAGCAGAGATCGGACCCGTGAGTGTCGTGGGGGAGAAGGGGGAGCCCGTCCCGATGTGCCTGGGCTCACGGCCCTGCCAATGCCCAGACCGAGGGCACGGTCACAGGGGCTTTCTGCCCTTCCCCCAGCCCCACTGCACCATGGCCCCTGTGGGTCAGCGTGCCCTGTCCAGACAGCCCTGCCCCCCCTCCGTGCCCCCCACAGAGGAGCCACAGGCGGGACCCACCCAGCTGGCCTTAGATCTCCCCGCAGGAGCGGGACTCCCTGACTCTTTGCTCTGCCCCCAGCCGCCCCTGCAGGCCTGGGCCCCCCTAGGCACCGATCAGGGCCAGCTGCCCGCCCCGGCCCCAGAGCCCTTAACCCTCTCCTCGCTCTGGCGCTGCCCCAGCCCGCTTCAGGCCTGAGCAGTCCGGCTGTGCGTGGGCCTCCGCCCATCTGCCCCACATGGCTTAGGGGAGCTGAGGCTACAGGAGCCATGGGATCTGACAAGGTGCCGGCAGGCCAGTGACTCAGGGAGGGGGCAGCAGGCCCTGGGCTGCCTGTGGAGTGAAAGGTAACATACCTCCCCCCCTCCACCCCCCCTCCACACACACTTTTTCAGGTGTTCACAGGGATTCCCCTCCCCCTGCTGGCCTAGCAGGTTGCGCTGGGCGTGTGTCCCCCCCTCCACCCCCCCTCCACACACACTTTTTCAGGTGTTCACAGGGATTCCCCTCCCCCTGCTGGCCTAGCAGGTTGCGCTGGGCGTGTGTCCCCCCC